TCCCTGGTAGAGGGCATGGGTGCACCTCACTGTGTCTCCTACCTTCAATTGGAGCTGCAGCTCTTGTCGACTCTTCTAGACTCCAAGCACACAGGATGAGGGGTGGAAAAGAGGCCTTTCTGGCTTTTCAGATCCCATGGGGATGCTAGAAGCCTCCCTTTTGTCTTTTTATCCTGTACTTCTCTTTTCTTTTCCTTTGAAACTTTGCTAGTAGTGTGCTCTCCATCCACTATCAGATGCACAAATAACAATAGCTCCCTGGGAAAGGTCTGCTGCTCCAGGGCCTAAGCTGGAGCCAAGAAGAAGAGGAAAGTCAAAGACACGGCTTTAGAGAAGCCGCAGGGTTCAGATTGCACTTTGGGAACCATTGTTCAGTTCCAGGGATGCTGGCTCTGAGCGCCCTCAGAACCTGGCCTCCATATCTCCACCAAGGGAGCTTTGAATCCCACACACCCTCCAGATACCTTAGCTATTGTATTTGTTTTAACTTTTAAGATCTGCCTGTTACTGGAACCCAGCATCTAGCTGAGGTTGTTTGTAAACAGAAAGAGGGAACAAAGGGTGAGAGGTTAAGCGGCTTCTGTGGAAGATCAGGTTTACTCAGAGAAGAAGAATGAACACATTCCCAAGTGCTGGTCCTGTGCCTGGCTGTTTCTGAGAACTCCTGACCATGAAATGTGAGCTGTCACCATCCAGGGTTTGCACACCTTGCCTGTTTTTTGGGGCTCCTGCTGCTAAGCTGAGCTTCCTAGGAGGCCCACTTCTACCCAGAAGGGACTCAGCTGGGTCAGCCAAGGTCAAGGTGCGAATACCCAGCTATACCTTTCCCTCAATCCATCCTTAGCCCACTTCAGACCCGGCTCCTGGGATGGTAAGGAGGGAAGGGCCCTCACTGGGCCACTGGACAGCCCGAGGAAAGTGCCCCCTGGTGGCTTCTCAGGTACCACTCTCTGTCCTCCTAACTCTCCCTTGGTCCCATGTTCCCCTCCAGATTGGGCTCAGACATATAAGAAAATGACCAGCAGTGAGTTCACACCCAAAGGAAGTTGGGTCTATCCAAAGACCTTGCCTGGGTAGACAAGACAGGAAAGAACATTTAATGAGAACTTTCTGTATGCTACCTCTCCAGGTCTGCTCCTCTTTGATCACAGATGGGCCCTGGGAGGCTGGCTTGTATTCATATCCCTACTTCATGGAAGAGGAAAACAGAGGGTGGAGAAATGGAATAATTTGTCCATGGTGACACCACTGTTGGGGGCAGATCCTGGGTTTGAATCCAGACATCTGAATCCAGAAACCTTTCCAGAAGGAAGTTGGTTGGAGTGGAAACTGGAGTGAGCACCTGGGGCCCAAGCTGCTGAGAGACTGTCTTTGAGAGAGTAATGCCAAATGAAGACTCAGGATATCATTAGGTTTGAATTTCAGAACAGCAGGGAGTAATTCAATACAACTACGTCCTGCGGTGTTTATCTGAAATTTAAACGTAATAGGCTATCCTTTGTTTTTCCAGCAGCACTAGGGACAGGACCACTTCCATTTCTCTGCCTCTCAGTCTTGTCATCCTCTCATGTTAAATGCACCAACTCCCAGCTGTCTCTAACTTCTCCTTCTATGTCCATCCCTGGAATGTGGGAACTCTATTTCTCTACTTATTCTTGTTGTTTTGTTTGTTTGTTTTTGTGGTGCAGGGGATGGAACCCAGGGCCTCACACTTGCTAAGCAAGTACCTTACCACTGGGCTACACCCCTAGCTCTTTATATCCTTGCTTTAAGCTCAGTTGTCAATGAGAGATGTGGATTAGTGATAAAGCACTTGTCTATCATGTGTGGCACACGGCACAAGGTTCAGGGTTCCATCCCCAGCACCAAAAAATTAAATAGTAAAAAATTTTTAAAAGATCAGTTGTTAAATCAGTTGTCGAATATCATTTAATATTGTCTGAATACCCATAATGTGCCAGGACCTTCTTGGTCACTCTGAAGACCCACAGCAGTGACCCCTGTCCACCCTGTGTTGGGGTCTATGTGCTCAGGCACTAGGGATTCCTGTGACACCCATAGAAGCAGAGGCCACTGCTGTGAAGTGTTAGGGGTGGCAGGGGCCACTGGGAACACTTAGACTCCTCACCCCTGCCTTACCCAAAAGAGTCCAGCTTCTATGATATTTCCTGCATTTCCATGGAAGATTTTATTTGGGAACACAGGACAGAAAACAAAGTCATTGGAAACCACTATTCTAGGCTGTCAAGGTAGGCAGTTGCTTCCCAAACTTCGTGTATAAAGGAACCCTAGTGGGTCTGGTCAAATGCAGATTCATTGTGCATTTTTAACAGGTCCCCAAGTAGTTGCCCAGGCTGGGGTCCAGGGAGGACACTTTGTGACCAAAGCTCTAGAGTGTCCCCCTGGATGTCCACTCAAATAGATCATTGTTCTTTGTTATCTTTGATTCAGAGATAGACAGACAGATGTTGCTCTGTAAATCTCTTCCCATCATCTACCTATTCCCTTTACCATGGCTATTTTATATGAATGTTCAGGCAAGATTAGGAGTGACTGTCCAAGCCACTCAATGAGGAAAAAAATCCTCATGGCCCAAGGGGTGGTATAAGGGAAGGGAAGGGACTTAGAAAATTGGCATGTCCTTGGATTCTGTGGATGGACGCTTAAAAATATGACACAGTCTACAATGTTCTTTCCCTTCTTGATGCCCCACCAAGGTCAAAGGGTCTCTGTGAGAAGTTCATGTTTGCCAAATGTGGAAGTCCTACAGTCTCGAACAGATCTAAGCCTTAAAAACTCTGCAGCCCTTGCATGAGCAAGTGGGAGTCTTTCTGGATTGTGTATAATCCTAGCAAAGCCCTCTGCGTGAATTAGAGGCAGACCATGGACTACAGATATAAAGCAGATTGTTTTAAATATTTCTGGTAGTACTGGGGTTAGAACTCAGCCTTTGTGCTGGCCAAGCAGGCACTCTACCACTTGAGCCCCATCTCCAGCCCATAGGAGATCTTGTAATTCCCTCTCTGTTTTTTTGTAAACACCAACTAGAAAAGTAAGCCTGAGACACCACCTTGCCTACTATCAGAACAGATTCTGCATCGGTATTGTTTTCCATCCTGTTCAAATGTTCCTCTTTCTGTTGGATTGAGAGTTCCCTCTTTGAAAAAGAGAAACAAGTGTGTTTGTTTCTGGCCGCAGATGGGGTTGAGAGCTCCTGCCTTGGAGTGTAATTTTTTTCTCTCTTCCCTTACAGCTGTGACCTAGTTAATTGTAGGTGGGAAGCAAACTCTGAAATCATTAGACTTTCAGCTTTGCTTAGAATCTTAAATTGTAGGATGTCCTCCTTAATAATGGGAAGTCAGGTTCCAAGATCAGCAACATTTGTGGTTTGTGTGCACGAAATGAAGAAGACTGAGTGTGTCTTCCTTATGGACAGAGAAAGGTAGATGAATACGTGACCCAAGGATGCATCACTCATGTCCAAAACAAGCGCCTAAATGTTCTTTGTTTGTGGCAGATGGTAACGTCTGAATGTTCTCACCTCCTATTCACAGGGACATAGGAGGGAGTGAGTCAGGGTTTTGGGTTGGTGGCTTCATTCCTGATACTGGGGATATCGTGTACCAAAATATTACATCATTAAGAAACAAGTTTAGGCCAGGCCTGATGGTACATGCCTGTAATCCCAGCTACTCAGGAGCCAGAAGCAGGAGAATCTCAAAAGTGAGGCCAGTCCGAGGCCAGCCTGGGCAAGGTTAGTGAGGCCCTATGTCAAAACAAAATAAAAAGAAAAGGGCTGGAGGCATGGCTCAAGTGTAGAACACTTGAGTGTGAGGCCCTGGGCTCAATCCAGAGAGAGGAAAGGAGAGAGAGAGGAAGATGGAGAAGGAAAGAAAGACACCAGTTTAATTTAGGACAAGTACACATTACTAATTCCACCTTCTCAATTCAGTAAGGTAGGACTTATGTTGAAAAACAGTTCTATTTCTTTTAACTCATATTTCTTTGAACTATTTAATTTTTTCAGGGGAGGAGCGGGAGTAAGTTGGGCGGCAGAGCTTCATGTGTTTATTTCCCATTCTGTATATGGAGAAAGGATCACATCACAGATTAACCCCTTCCATGGGCTACCTGCTCTCCTGGAGCATCCATCCATGATACTACAGAGAGCAAGTGGCTGGCCTGTAAACAGTCAGAGTAAATGGTAGACAGAGCCAGACACAGCTGGTTTCTATTTCTCTCCATCACCCTAAACCCAAGAGCTTGGGAGTGTATGGGCCTAGATCCTTAGCTCTTAACCTGTGGCCCCAGCACACCAGT